GGGGTGCTCTTTCCCCAGCACCTTCTCCCTCAGTGCCAGCACCTCCCGGTGCGTCTCCTCCGCCTCACCGTACTTCCCCTGCTTCCCCAGGTTATATGCAACCTCATGCATGCTCGTCAGCGTGTTGGGGTGCTCTTTCCCCAGCACCTTCTCCCTCAGTGCCAGCACCTCCCGGTGCGTCTCCTCCGCCTCACCGTACTTCCCCTGGTTCCCCAGCGCCTGTGCCACGTTGGACATGCTCGTCAGCATGTCGGGGTGCTCCAGCCCAAGCCTCTCTTTCCTTGACTGATGCACCCGCCGATGCGACTTCTCTGCCGCTATGTACTGTCCGAGCATATCCTGACATCGCCCTACTCGAGAAAGCAGTTCCTCAAGCTTATCGCCCATGGCGCAGCTTTCCCGGGCCATAACGTAAACCGCATGCGGGAGGTATGCCGTCCACACCTCTCTTGTCTCGTGGTCGCCGTATGGGATACTGTCTACCAGCCGACTGACTGCTTCGTTGAGGTGAAACTCCCATTGGCTATTCTTCTTCAGCCAGTTCTGCGTCGCTAGGTGAACGAGTCTGTGCATGCTGAAAAAATCGATTCGCTGTTGTCGCTGCTCCCTGCAACGTCTTGTAATGAATGCATATGCAGTCAGTGTGCCAATACCCTCGATCTCCTCCAACTTTGAATGCCCACGTGGAAGAAGCGACCTCGGAATATCCTCCCGCAGTAGACACGCCATAAACGATAAATAGCGCACTGCAAGCGGGTCGTGTTTCTGGATTTGCTCAAACGAGATGATCCAGGTAATCGCCACGGGATTCCTTATTTCTCGATAGCGGCTTCTATCCTCAAAATCTCTGCTGAGCAGTTCGATCTCATCGTCAGGTGTTTCCCGAAGCAGACCTATATACTCCGAAATCCGAACTTCGTTCTTGTTCAGGAAAGCGGCCGCCTGGACGATAGCGAGAGGGAGATATGCAAGCAGTTCCAGAAGCTTAGAGACTTCATCACCCTCTAGAAACTCCTTTCGGTTCAGCGTCTTTGAAAAGAACTCTAGCGCCTCCGCTCGGTTCATCTCGAACAGTTCAATGCTCTGACTTCCTACTTGGTCGATTGCCGCTTTCCGGGTCCGAGTGGTAAACAGGATCGAGCCGTTGCGGCTGCGTGGAAGATAGTCGATCAGTCTGCTTTCATCGTCACCCTCTCGGAAGAGGACGTCGACATCGTCGGCGTTGTCGACGACCAGCAGCCACTCGCCCGCCCGCTCGTTGCTCAGCGCCCTTTGAACGAGCCCTTTAACATCTGCCTTCTCGTCCTCGATTCCGGGTATCTGTAACAGCGCGCCGATAGCCCTATACGCCTCCTCGAAGCTCTGCCGGCTGATTGCCGGCACCCAGAACACGGAGCAGCGCGGACGCAGCTTTCTAGTGCGGTACGCGAACTCGAGTGCGATGGCAGTCTTACCGCACCCGCCAAGTCCCCAGATTGCCGCTCGTTGGCATGCCTCGGACGAGGATAGCATCTCGCAAAGCTGTTGCAGCTCGGCTTCACGGCCGACAAAGTGCTGGTTTCGCTCGAAGGGAATATGCCAGTGTCCTGCTCTTACGTATTAGCGACTTGCAGCCGGAGAGGAACGCATTAATAGAGGGTAAAAGGTACTTCTGGATTCCCTTTCTTTGATTTGCTATATAAGAAGTACGTCTGTGTTACAGAAAAAGCCTGCTACTTGCCTTGAACCGTCCCCTCCATGTCCCTAACCGCGCCGGCTTGCATAGTGCACAAAAGCTCCCTCGCGAAAGCCGCCGCGTTCCCGGCAGCGCGGTGCTTCCACAGATCGTTCTTGTGGGAGTCGGCGTAGTCGGATATCCCGCGGATCACGAGACACCGCCCGTTGACGTCGACGCCGGCCGCCTCCATCTCGACGCAGAGCACCCCGCCGCACCTCGCGCTTATCCTGTCTCGCAGCTCCCCGTCCCGGATGACCGAGTTGCCGGTCGCGATTCTGCCTTGGTGGAACACAAGCGTCGCCCTCTGATCGACGGTGCGCGGCGGGCGCCGGATAAGCTGGGCGGGGTCGCACGACACGCAATCTGACCTCTCCTCGCCAGCGTGGTGGTAGCTGGCTTCAAACAGCCGGTTGGTCTCCGGATCGGGCGCCGTGAACTTAGCCTTTCCCCGCAACCTTGCAAGTTGGTCGGGGAATGTTGTTTCCTCCATTTCTTGATTTAGCGACAGCACGCCGAGCGCCTGAACCAACCCCCACTCCGGTTTGTCTATCGAGCCCACCATCTCAAACTCGCCGTCCACCTTCGAGCGGCCCAGGTCGTGGTACACGACGGCCGGCTTCCCGTCCCCGGCCCATCCGACGACCACGTCTCCGAGGTGGACGTCGTCGAGCGGGTCGTTGGAACGGCTGGGCCGAGGAACGCCGCCGCCGATGCCGACGAGCAAGGCGATCTTGATGTTCGGGAAGCTCTTGAACAGCGAGCCGGTCAGCCGACCGGCGTTGACGTTGCCGGTCAGGCCCTTGGGCAGGGTGGCTATAACGACGCGGTGGCCGTTGACGGTGCCGCAGATGTAGGTGTTGTCGTCGTAGGCGGTGTCGATTTGAGGGGGGTCGTGGCGCTCGTCGAGCATCAGGCGGGCAGGCAGCAGCTCAACGTCCGGCAGCGGACAGATCCATGCCACGTTGTAGTCTCCCCGCCGCAGCCCGCCGCTT